AGACTGGACTTACGTGGACAGTTCCACCTAACAACTTTCTGCTGCTGGCTTAAGAACTGTTTGTTATACATGATGCAGTATTATCAGCAAAAGAATCATAAATAATGGGTTGAACTCGATTACCTCTTAAGATCTCTTATGGCTCTTAAATCTTGTGAAACTAAAATATGAAGGTACTTATTTTCTGGGCTCCAATTTAAATCTAATAGCAGCTCTTGGTCAGGGAGCTGCTATGCTGAATAGGAAAACCCATTCACATGACGACATCAGTCTGACCCATCAATCCTCAATACCACCGAGCTCCCATCACCTCCAAGACCACTGACGAGGGAAAGAAGTAGAGAGTGGCCTATGATTGTAAGTCATTAATTAGTGCTACTCAAAGTACAGAACAGTGCCTGGTACCTGATAGTAACAGATTTTTACTGAATGCTCCACCCTCCCCAAAGGACAACTAGACAGAGTTGGAATTTCTTGTTTGTGGAAGCAAGTTATAAATATTAGGGCAGTTTCTATCCTTTTCGGTGCCATGAGTAGCTGTTGGACTCTGAACACAAAGGTTTTGCTGACTTCACAGGCTTTAATGGACCGGAAGCTTTGGCCTGGGAACCCTCCTCCCAGTGCTTCCAGCCCCTGGTTTCATGGATCACTCTTTCCCAAACTCTTTTCTAAAATGAATGCCATCCACTGGGAAGACTTCTTCCTGAGGTTTTACAGCTTAAGCATAAAAGTGGACAAAGTAAATAGATGGTAATTATTGACAAATTCATTGCCAGGTTAATGTGTACATTTCCACTCACAGATAGTCGTTTGTTTGTTCTAGCCTCAACCCCGACTGTGTGGAGTCCCTGCTGCCAAGGCAATCGGATGAGACTTGAATTTCACACAGTTATGTCCATTGTTATTTGTATAGTGGAGATACCTTCAGTCTTCAATCAGTGTTTTCACACAGTGAATTTCAGTCCTAGGTAGTCAATGTTTTTTTTTTTTTTTTTAAATATGTTTTATTGATTTCTTTTACAGAGAGGAAGGAAGAGGGATAGAGAGCTAGAAACATCAATTCAGCTGCCTCCTGCACACCCCCCACTGGGGACGTGCCCGCAACCAAGGCACATGCCCTTGACCGGAATCGAACCCGGGACCCCCCAGTCCGCAGGCCGACGCTCCATCCACTGAGCCAAACCGGTTACGGCGTAGTCAATTTTTTAAAATTGAAGAACAAACATCAGTAACACTAACTTGAATTTTTATATTATACAAATGGGATTTCTGTCTTTTAAATGTTAGAACTCTCTGAATTGAATCATTTTAAAATATATATACTTTTTTATTGATTTCAGAGAGGAAGGGAGAGGGAGAAAGAGATAGAAACATCAATGATTAGGGAGAATCATTGATCAGCTGCCTCCTGGGTGCCCCACACTGAGGATTGAGCACGAAACCCAGGCATGTGCCCTGACTGGGAATCAAACCGTGACCTCCTGGTTCATAGGTCAGTGCTCAACCATTGAGCCACACTGGCCAGGCTGGACTGAGTCTTGTATGTCTTTGTGTTCCCTTGAGAGCCTGGCACGCAGAGAATGTTTGGTAAGTCTTTGCGGTAGGCCTGGTTATTATGTACAGTGAATTAAAATGGAATATGAGAACTACATATATGGCTGAAAAAAATGAAAACATTTGAAAAGTGCATACAGTGCAAATCATACCTCCTACCCCAGCCCCCCCCCCATCTGCTTAGTTCTGATCTCACCTAAGAGTAAAAAAATTTTCTGTGTATTCTTCTAAAGTTTCTTTACAGATTGCAAATATCATTTCTCTCTCCCATCTTTGTTCATGAAATATAGTGTATTATAACCAATAGTCTTCACCTTGTTTTTTTTCACCTACCAATATGGAGATCTTTCTATATTGGTATATAGAGAACTTTCTCCTTTTTTATACTTATTTAAAGAATACAGTGTGTGATTTCCTTAGCCAGTCCCCTATTTGTTTTCAGTCTTTTCCTGTTGCAAATGGCTGCTGTTGAATTCCTTTACACAGACGTCATGTTGAATGTGTGCAAGCGTGACTGTAGACAGTTTCCCAGAATGGGAGAGGGCACGTGCATTTATAATTCGATAGATAACTGCCTAAGTGACTTCTCAGGGTTAGACTAGCTTACACTCTCATCAACAGTACAATAAATCTTTTTCTAAAATTGAAGGCTTTGGTGCAGCTGCATCAGAACATGGGAACAGAGCGGGAGTCAGGAGATAAGATAGGGGCACCCACTTGTTTCCAAGATTTTTAGCCCGTGATCTCATTTAGTTCCTACAAGAGCCGTATAAATAAAGCAAACATTAGATAACCAAACAGCTGAAAACCGCAGCTCAGTGAGGATGCGTAACTTGGCCAAGGTCTCACAGCTAGTAAATGATGGGGTTGGGGCTTAGTATGTGAGGCTCTGGACCCTGCTCTTCTAGCAAACTCCAGTCCCCTCTGGGGTCTAGGTTCGGTTCTGCCAGAGCTCGTCATGTCACCTTACACCTAGGAGGAATGCAATTCATTTCTGTAGAGTGTGTGGATGGGTGAATGAATGAGTAAACAGATGGGAATTTAGCGGGGTGGGAGTACTACTTAGAAAAGCAGAGAGAGTAGGAATCGGGACCCATAGAATACAGAAACTGGAAAGTAATTTTGGCCAAAATGGGCTCGGGAAGTGTTGGATTGTTAAGAGGGTCTTCTAGTCAAACAGGAAAAGGTCAACACAGCAAAACAAAGTTTTATTGTGTTCTGCTAAATCATGCTCCTGTGAGGTTGCCACATGTCCCAGCTCCTGTGTACAGTTTCACTTATGTTAATGTTTTACAACATCAAGTTTAAAATAAAAACCTAATACTTGTGGGGGGTTACTGAAAGGCTCACCAAAACTGATAAAAGCATGGAACTTGGCTAGGCTTCAAATCCTGGTGTGTACAAGTGTAGGTAGTACTGGGTAACGATTGGTTTTTTAAAATCCAAATACCAGACTAAAGCTCGGCAAGTGAGTGTTAATGTCTGGAAAATACCCTAATGACCTCAAAGCTTCTCTACTGTCAGGGCTATTACTATTGTTCATTCCTTGAACCCCTCCTTGGGAACTGCCAAGGGGGGTCAGAGCTTTGCCCTTTAAGGATAAAGACTGAAAAAACCCCACAAAACACATTGTTTTTAACAGTTAAAATTCCACGGGAATTATGTGTGCTTATCAAGCGTTCTGAGGTATCTTTCCAACTATGTGTTCTTGTTTCTCTGTAGTTAAATTTAAAAATTAGGTTTACCTTCAAACTTTATTGCATTTACTTTGTGATGGTCAAAACTAATTTTAAATAAGCAAATCCAAGTATTTCTACTATAAAAGAAAAGTGGTTTATCTGATTTTTATTTGCCCTTTATAGGATTAAATTTTTTTTTTTTATTGATGGTTTTATACTTCCCTACATGGGATATTGCTTAGGTTCACCTCTCTTCAAAATGAGTGCCTTGTTAACATCTGTCGGCTAACAGAATGCGCCTTTGGGGATTAGCGTGTGTGCCATTGCACACAAGGACAGCATTTCTACATACACTGATGAGGAAAGGGGGCAGAAACATGTAGAGTAGCGCCACAGTTAGCTCCACAAATGTTTGTTGGATGGATGGATAAAGAAATGAATGGGACTGAGGAGAAAGCAAAGTAAAAATAGGAGTGGGAAGATGACTAGGCTCTGCCCTTGAGCTGACTCAGGCTGCATCCCTGGTTCCCGAAGCTCAAAACCTACGAGAACCTAGAGATGGTGGCAACAAGGGGAAAATACCAAGATCCCCTTTTCTCACTGATTCTCTAGAAAACCCTGCAGACAGGCCAGTGAGGTCTTTGGGATGTCTGATCTGTCACCCAGGGGGTTGGAAATACTGCTCAAGGTTTCCTCCTTGCTGGCTAGAAACTTGTCATTTCTGATTAGGGTAACTTGTTCTAATAAACACTTTGTATGCATTATTTAATTTGATTAGCCCAATGGTGAGTGCTGATTTTTTAACTTGTATATCAATTATTTTCTTATTTTTAGCATATGCTCCTCATCATCATCTTTTTCATGGTACAGACATATTTCATCCAGTAGAATATTTATCTTTTCCCACAATTTTTAGATTTTAAGTTCTTCTCCAGCTTTTGCTATTATAAAGAATACTGGGATGATATACTTTTCCCCAAAGCATTTTCCTGATATTTATGCTTTTAGGATAAATTTCCAGAGGCAGGATCACTGGGTCAAAGAGTATAAACATGTATCGCCACAATGACTTTTCATTCATTGTTTAATGTGAGGTGATGGCTCAGGGAACGCTGAGACAGGTGGGAGAGACAGGGACACTGCCCTTTTACAGACGAGATCATTGGGAGCTACGTTCCCCAGGTCATACAGTTAGAGGAAGAGCCATCATTAAAATGCATGCTTCTCAGATCTCTCCTAATTTCTCTTCCCACTGCGCCCCCAAAATGAAATGAACTGAACATGCCACTTTCCTTCCCAGACATCTTAGTCTTGACCTAATGGGGCTTCTCTGTCATGAGGCCTCCTCCTTTCACTCAGGGTCCTTCTACTTTAGGAGGAAAGTGAGACATTTCAAGCAGCCCAAGGACCACACATGGTGAAATCTTTAGCTACATCTAAGGAGGAAGCAGGGTGGAACAGGGACAAGAACATGAGAAAACAAAATGTACTAAATTAGAATATGGGACAGGAACCATGAGAAAGTGCATAAGGAGCACACAGGAAAAACACACTGTGATTTTGAAGGACCTGAATGCTCAGGATGAGGTGTGTGAGCTGAAGACAGCAAAGAGACTTGAATTAGGGAGCGTTAGGGTCATGGTATGGCCTTTCTGTACTCAATTGCACCCAGGACTGTCTTGAACTGTCAAATCTACTTCTTGATAGCAATATACTTTCTCAAGATAGAAACTAAACAAGAATGTGTATTTTCTTTTTATTTTTCAAATGAACGATCAAAAAGTAACTTCGACTATGTATTTTTCAACCACAGAAGAAAGTGAGTCCTGCTTTGTCCAACCCAAACCCCATACATTGGGAAGAGAATCTGCTATTTATGACAAGGCACAAAAGGAAAGCCTTCCTCCATTAGAGAAACTCAAGATTTCAGCAGCGTCTACAGCTAATGGTGTTAAATCCCTTCATGATCAGCCCTTGGCAAAGGATGCTGCAGACCCGCTGGGATCCACAGAGAAGATTCAGCCTTTAGAGGGACCCCAGGAGTCTGGGCCACTTCAGCAAGATGGCAAAGATGAAACTCCAGGAGCAGGAGGACAGAAAGATGTGGAAGCAGTGACAGAGGCCCAGCCTTTAGAAGGAAATGCCGAGACGGAACCTTTAGGAACAGAAGCCAGGCATCAGCCTTTGAGGACAGCTGGCGAGAGGGACTCCCCTGGAGCCGTAGGAGACACCGAGACTCCACAGACTGCCAGAGAGATGAAACCTCTAAGAAGAGCTGGAAAAATCCCACCTCTGGAAGCAGGTAGAGAGTCACAACCTCCAGCAAAGCCCCAACTCCTAGACACCGTTCCCACGGAGACTGAAGCTCCAGAAATATTGGAAGGACGTCAGCCTGTTGAAACAGCCGAGGAACATCAACTTCAAGAAACACTGGGGAGGGATGAGCAATCCCAACTTCTAGAAACAATGTCCAAAGGGAAAGGATTTCTGGAAATATCGGAAGGAAGTCAGCTTGTGGAAGCAGCTGTAAAGAACGATTTGATTCCTAAAACTCCTGAAGGCCTGGTAAACATGGAGCAGATTCAACCTGAAGGAATAGTCGGAAGCGTGGAGCGTCCAGCAGGAACTCTGGAAACAGGGACAAACATGGCAATGGTCAGGAAAGTTCACACCAAAAAGGTGGACCACAACATTGAAGGTAAGAGATGCTGTTAGAGATTCAGGATGTTTAGATGGGCTTCATAAGAGGTCATCCTGGGGCGGGGGGCGGGGGTGGGGGGTGGGGGGGAAGGATGTGGCTTCTACATACACTGAAGTATCTATTACAGGTGGTCGAAGTTCGTTTGACCCAAGTCAAAAAGGTTTCCATATCTGGAAAACAGGCGTTTGGCTTTCCAGCAAACTTTTCTAAAGCACATTCTGTGTCCAGATTTTTAACCTAGAGTTTCATCATTGGAGAGAACCGAATATTGAAGCCAACATGTTAAAATTTCTGGACTTTCCCATGATTACTGTTCATCAGGTCCCATGTGAGGTGTGAGGTTCCAAGGGAAATATGAATAGATGGTTAGTGGAGGAATTGACCTCCTAAGGAAAGAACACACAAATAATGGATCTTACAGTGTAATTTTTATCTTCGCCAGTTTTATCCTTAGAAAATTACTCTGCCCTTGTCCTCCTATACGCTTTTTACCTTTAAGAGAATACTAGAGGAAATGTATTGTTTGGGCATATGGTGTTTTTTAAGTGTATCTTACCAGAGAAAAATAAATGGTGCCTATATTGGAGTTATTATAAAAAATAACATTTCTTCTGGGGCATGATTTACATTTTGGCTAATGTTAGCTTCACACTATAAGTGAAGCATTTATCCCTCCGTTGCTTAATTATTTCATTTATTAGCACAGTGGTTTTTGTGCTTAATCATACGCGAGGCGCTAGGGTTCAGAAGGAGTAAGAGATTGCTCCTGTTCTCAAGGGGGTCACCGTCTAGTGGGAAGAAGGCAGAATTTAAACAGATTACCACAATCTATTGAGATAAGCACTTTGATGAAGATATGTAGAAGCACTCTGGGAGCAACAAGGGAGAAACAAGAAATAGCAGATATTTGTTAGACCAGGGCTGGCAAAGTCAAGCTTTGGGGCCTAGGATAATGAGAGGGAGTGAAGTGAGCGGCACATGGAAGGTCACGCGGAGCTCACAGGGACTTTGGTCAATAGGAACATGGTCTCTATCGAAGAGGCAGCTGCTTCTTGGCTCCACCCATGAGCATGGGGCCAGTGTTGTCCAAACCGACTTCTTAGGGAAATAGATTGGTATGTGCAGTGTCCAGATTCAGAAGTGTTGTTATTGGCATTCAGAGGATCTGAGAGAACCAGGGTGATCACCTTTCTTGAAACCACCAAAAAAATGTATTGTTTAGACCTAAAGAGTAGGAGCTGTCCCCAGCCATAGCTAGTGTAGCAGTGGTTGAGTGTCGGCCTGGGCACTGAAGGGTTCAGGGTTATATTCCCTATTGGGGCATGTGCAGGAGGCAACCAATCGATGTATCTCTCTCACATCGATGTTTCTCTCTTTCCCTCCTTCTCTTCCATTCTTTCTAAAAAATGAATGGAAAAAATATTCTTGGGTGAGGATTAACAACAACAAAAATCTGTCCCCATTGGCAACCACCTGTGGGTACTTTATTGTTAATGCTCAATAAGCATCTCTTAATATCTCCTGTGGTTACTTTTCCAGGTGAGACAGGCGAAGAGGTTGGAACAGAGATGGAGAAAGTAAGTGAAAGAGCTGAAACAAAAGGAGAAGAAACAGGAGGAGCTGTGGATCTTCCAGCAGCCACCTAGATAGGTATGGTGATGGAAGGGTGAATGGACACAGTGTCATCACAGAGGACAGAAAGACGTAGGGAAGCTTGTGGTTACAGATCTCACCTTAATGACACTAGCCAGAGCCAATAACAACTAGGGTTTATGATCAGTAAAGAGTTTGAGGGTGTTCATTGTGGCAATGGGTCAATTCAGTTTAGAAAATGAGACCCTAAAATGAAAATATAAACCTTTAGGTATTGGTGGCTGGAGGAGGGAGTTAGCAAGTTTTAGGGAGCTCAGGATAATAAAGTCACAGAGTTATAATTACTGTGGAATAAGAATGAACAACAAAATGATGCAAACTATACCTAGGATGTCTTTCCTACAACAGAAAGGCTGGTAAAAACCTTAGAAAGTATGTCATCTCATTACCTTCTCTTCTAGAGTCTATCTACTACTGTAGAGCCTTATTCATCATGTTGTGTTAAAAATGTTAACAAAATCCTTGTCAAAGGAATTCAAACTGGTGCTGCTGCGAGATGAGGCGTTTTCACAGCGAAAGGCTACAC